CCTCCTTCAAAATGCATCTTCTCTCCATTGTATCCACGAAGGAATCTAAGAAATCTTAAATTGGGCAAAGCTTGTAGGACTTTAATCGAATCACCATCCATCAACATAGTAAAAGTCAATCTCAATTTTGCTAGATTGTGGAGTCTGGAAATCCACTCAGGCAGCCTTTCTAATTTCCCCCAAAGAATGAGAGATTGGAGGTAAAGAGGAGCAGAAGACATTGCCTGCAAGTCAAGAATTGCAACCCCAGAACCCTGTGAAGCAACCCAAAGCGACCGCAGGTGAGGCATATTCTCTAGCGCAACGCATAGATCCCTTCCATATTCAGTTTTCAAATTCATGATCCCCAGTTTCCTCAATCGCTTCAACATCCCAATCTCATTAAGTAATTCCCGTTCATGATGGTAACCTGCATTAATTACATAGAGTGTTTGCAACAGCTCTAACTGCCCCAGGCTACCACGTACAACGAACCCACAACCCCGTTTAGGATCACCCAAAAGATATCGCAATTTAGGGAATCTGTTAACCTCAACTGGCAACCTTTCCACCAAGGAATCACTCAAGTCTAAGAACTCTAGGTTTTGCAGCTTTCCAATTGATTTTGGAAGATTTGACACCAGTGTATCTCTTAAGCTTAAATACTTTAGGTGTAGCAAATTTCCCAACTCTTTTGGAATTTCATCTATCGGACACTTTTCAAAATCTAATGTGGTCAAAAGCATACATTTTTCAAATATTGCATCAATTATTTGCTTTTGCAGCTTTGCCCCGCAGAAGACCATGACAGAGCGAGTTTGAGACCTGGTGCTTCCCTTTGGATGGTCACTTCCTCCCTTGCTTATTGACATGTGTCGTGCTATGCCTTCCAAAGCTGAGGAATTCCAAGAAACATGGCCGAAACTTAATTCTTCTGACCTTGAAAGAATGACGTCTCGTACCAGATCATGCACTCGACATGTTGTGGGAATTCCTTTCATGCTAGCTTCATCTACTTGGACTAGACTTCGACGAATGAGTCCATTCAAGCACTCTTCCGCGGCTTCTTCTAATGTCAATCCTCGTTTTTCTTGTACAAAACCTTGAGCCACCCATAACCGAATTATTCTTGTACGTTTAATGGAGAAATCTTCGGGAAGCATCCCGAAATACAAGAAACATGCTTTGAGGTCGTAAGGCAGGTCGTGAAAACTGAGGGAGAGAATTTTAGTGACATTCTCAACATGAGGATCGCTCGCCATTGTAGAATCGAGACTATTGACCAATTTTTGCCATTCTGGGACGACCCTTTCTTTGGTCGCTAGAAGTCCACCAACAGCCACAATTGCCAGTGGCAATCCTCCGCATCTTCTAACAATGTCTTGCGACAATTCCTCCAAATCTTTTGGACAATTCCCTTCAAAATCAAACTTGAATGCCTTTTTGCAGAAGAGTTCCCAAGCTTCTCGTTGAGGGAGAGATTTCATCTGATAGACATGAACCAATGAAGATCTCCTGCAAAAGTTAGCAACATCCTCATTTCTTGTCGTGGCCAGTATTTTGCTACCTTTGTTGTTATCCACCAAGGCATGCTCCACATCTCCCCAGAAGCGGATTTCCCACACATCATCGAATACAACTAAATACCGTTCTTGCTGTAAATATTTTCTAAGTTCATCAATCAACGATAAAGCGTCCATTGTGACAAAGGCCTCAGGAAAAGGCTCTTTCTTAGCTTCATATAATTTCTTTAACGTGCTCCTTAAGAGTTCCACCCTGTCGTATGATTGAGACACAGTAATCCAAGCATGGCATTGAAAGTGTTGTTTCACCACGTAGCTGTCATATACTTTCTTTGCAAGAGTGGTTTTTCCCACTCCTCCCATTCCAACCACCGAGATCACTGTCCTTCGACATTCTCCGCTTACCAAGAGGCTTATCAATTCATCTTTTGTAGATTCAATGCCAACAAGCTCGGAATCTTCAATGAAAAGAGAACCTGATTGAGGATCATGCAAGACAATGTTACTTGAGCCTCCTTGCTCTGAAGATGCGAACCGGAACCCTTCACTTCTGTCCTTGATTCTGTGAAGAGTTTTTCTAACATCATGAATCTCTGATGCGATCTTGTGGCGTAGAGGCAATTTCCGAACCAAGGAAGAGACTTTAGTTAAGAAGCCCGCGAATACACGCCGATCACGATGTTGTGCCACATGAAGCATATTATATTCGTCAATGACATCTTCAATCTGATAAGCAACTTCCCTTGCTTGGTTTACCCATAGTTTCACACTTTCGCTCACACCTTCTCTCTCAGCCTTTGAGTTTGCATCTTTCAGAAAAGCTCTGATGGCTTCCAGATCATCTTTGATATCTGCAACTTCATTGTAAAGACCTTTCAATAGTTGCACCCCTTGAGCTAGCAATGGAGCCAACTTGTCAATTACAAGACTCACTGCTGACTCTGCCATTTTTTCTTCTCCTTTCTATTTGATCTTCTTTTCTGCGAGAACAAATTTTGAATTTAGGCTCCTTGAAGTAATTAAATTATTGTAGGTTGGTCATGTTACAAAAGTTAAACCTGGCGTATGTAAGCATCAGACGAGTTACTATGTGTTGTCCACGGAACCAAAAGCAAACACAAGTAAGAAATACAAACAAGTAAATTTACGTGGTTCTTCAAAATTGGATATGCCTACAGAGGCAATAGATTATATATTATAGGAGGAATGATACTGATTAATACTTAAAAGTACATTTTTATTAAGGTTTTATATCATTATTTTGCACTTGAAGTATCAATAACTCTTTAACTAAAGCATGTTTTATAATAACGTATCTAATAACATAAGATACCTTTAATTTGTGGTAAATATTCATTTTAAATGCAGGCCTATCACATAAATGAAAAGATTGATTGATGAATTTAAGAACTGAAATTGAAAGGACAAAGAGATGGCCAAACTTAGAAAAGAGATGTCGTTGCAGTCTATATCGGAATACTGTTCGGTAATTGGGTCATATCTGGAGCTGTAGATCTCAGATTTAGGTTCAATTTATATGGATGGAAAGATAAGACATATGCCTACAACTTTCATATGGAGCTCAAGATCTAAAAAGACCATTTTCAAGTCCAAATTGGAGCAACAACAAAGAAGTCTAAATCTATCTTCCATCCCGAGCACTGTTCAGTGTTTGACCAATATCTGGAGTTCTAGAAGTCCAAATGAGCTGAATTTTTTACACAAGAAATCCGAGACAATTTCCTTCAACTTTTATGTTTACAAGTGGTTCCAATTTTGACGTTATCAATGATGTTTTTGGCAGACTAGAGAAGATAAGGATTGTCATCAAGTCAAGAGTTGGCCACCCACTCATCAATTAGTCATCAAATCAATAGTTCCCAATTTTAGCCTATAAAAAGAGACATTTGTCATGCATTTAGGCATCTTGGTGTCCAGATCAAGATCATGCTCTTGCTTTCTCTCTTGTATTTTTTTGTATTGCTTATACTTTGCTTTCATTAATATCAAGTTTATGCCTTTCATTTCTTTTCCTTTACTTAGTTAACTTTTATCTTATTTATGTTCTTATTTTATTTATCTATTTTTATTTCTTTTATTATGTCTAGCTAAGTTTATTATGTCAAGGTGAAAATGTTACATTAATGGTGTAAGAATAAGTATAGTATAAACTTAATATGGACTTTAATGTTTGATACTAACATGTTTTATATTTGTTATCTTGTTTACTATTTAATACTTTACTTGTTAAATGACTAATCTTGATTTATGTTGTATAAAAATTGGTACAACAAATGCTTGGCACTTTCATAGCCCATACTGTATGGTATAACCGACACCTGAGCTAGGAAAGGAACTTGATTTGTTGTTAATATAAGTTATAATCATGAATACTTGATGAAATTTACAAGTATTAGCATTAATTGAATAAGATGACTAATGTAATCATGTTAACAATCTATAATCTGATTGGAACCTCCTTTGTATGAGGTTTCCAATTGAATAATAAGAGTTTATACTATACTTATTTGACATACCATTAGTGGATCCTCTAACCTTGACATTGTTTGTTATCATTGTTTAATCCTTACGTTAATTTTCCATCTCAAAATTCTCATCAACTTTTATTTTTCTTCTTCTTTATTATTATTATTATTATTAGTATTATTACTATTACTACTATTACTAATAGTATTATTATTGCTAATATTATTATTATTGTTGTTATTGTTACTATTATTGTTGTTTATAATTTGTACAATTAACCTCCTTGTGGTTCGACCCCAGTCTTGTCGGGTTATTTATTACTTCGACACTCCTGCACTTGGAAGAAGACATCAATCTTTTAGTCGTGTCAGATACAAATACTTAATTTAACCCGATATAATCCCAGCAAATCCAGTGTTTCACTCTTACACACTCACTATCTCAAAATCTGCTCTCTTTCACCAACACAATTGCACTCACTTGCACTCACCATACTTCCTCTACACATCTCTTTATATATTTCACTCTCTTGCCTCTGTCTCCATTTATAGGTGAAATGAGAGTCTTAACAGCAACCCATGTGCAACATAATAAATGCCAACCAACTACTAACTACTACAATAAAAAAGTCATGGTGGTTGGAAAAAAGTTGACAAATTTGCTATAAATCTCCACCTTGACAAGATTTTTTCATCCAATCCTCGTGATCAATTAATGCTGCCTTTAACGCACCATATGGCGCTACACCCTGAAGGTGCTCAACACCGAGAGATGTTGACCAAGTCTAAACAATGTCGAAACTTGATCCCTAAGACACATTTTATTAGCATGTTAGCTAGATTATCTATGGTACCAATCTTTTGTAGCAGAATATCCCCTTTATCTATAATTTCTTGAACAAAATGAAATTGAACATCGATGTGCTTGGTGCGAGAATGATGAACCTGATTCTTTGCAAGACAAATAGCATTTTGACTATCATAATGGACATCCACGTGCTTTTGAACAATTCCCAAATCTTTAATCAACCCATATAATCAAATAGCTTTCTTGAAAGCTTCTGTTACTGCCAAGTACTCTACCTCAGTTGTTGACAAAGCTACTGTTGATTATAATGTTGACTTCCAACTTACAAGCCCTTTAGCAAGTGTAAACACATAGCTTGTTGTGGAACGACATCTATCTAAGTCACCAATATAGTTCGAGTCCACATAACCAACTAAATTTTGTCCGAGTGTATCATCCCTTTTAAACTTCAAACTAATAACAGTTGTGCCATGAATATATCGTAGAATCCACTTAACTGTCTGCTAGTGACCCTTTCCCGGATCATGCATATACCTGCTCACCATACTAACAACATGTGAGATATCTGGTCTTGTATAAACCATTGCATACATTAATGCACCAACTGCATTTGCATACAGAATTTGAGCAAATAGATGAAAGAGCAAATAGATGAAAGAACCATATCAACATATCATCCACATATAAGAGCAAATAGATGAAAGAACCATCAAGAAGTTTGAGAAAATATACACAGTTGTCAAACTGACTCCATGTGTATCCATGTTCTGTCATGAACTTATCAAATCGCTTTTACCACTGACGAGGAGATTGTTTCAATCCATATAATGACTTCTTTAGTTTACAAGCCTAATTCTCTTTTCTAGTGATTTTGAAACCATCTGGCTGAGACATGTAAATTTTCTCTTCCCATGTAGGAAGACAGTTTTCACATCAAGTTGGGCTAACTCCAAATCAAATTGTGCAACCAAGGCTAGCAGAATACGAATTGATGAATGCTTAACAACTGGAGAAAATACCTCATTATAATCTATCCCCTCTTTATGAGCATAGCTTTTTGCTACCAATCTTGCTTTGAATAGGATGTTGTCTTTTCCAAGATTACCTTCCTTCTTGGCATATACCCACTTGCAACCAATTGTCTTTTTTTTCTTAGGAAGTTGTACCAAATCCCAAGTCTAATTCTTGTGGAGAGATTTCATCTCTTCATCCATTGCCTCTATCCATTTTGTATTTTCTACACCATGTACTGCTTCTTTGTAGGTGTAGGGGATTCCATCATCAATTACTGGAAGTGCATAAGCCATCATGTCACAATACCAAACAGGTTTCTTGTAACTCTTTTCAGTTTACTCATTGCAATGGATTCTTGTTGTGTGGTTGTTGGAGTTGTTGCATCCTCTTCATCTGAACTTTCATCTGAATCTCCTTCACTAGGGATTGTCTGAACAATCTTTATAGGGATGACTGAAGTCTCTAACTCCACCTGTTGTGCATCATTAGACTGTTTTTCCTTCTCCTGTGATTTCTCTTGCTGTAACATGCCAGACTCATCAAAAGTGACATCTTTACTCAAAATCACTTTCTTTGATTCGGATCACCAAAGTCTATAACCTTTTACTCCTCCACTAAAGCCCAAAAATATAGCTTTCTTAGCGCTGGGATCTAGCTTCGACTCAGTAACATGATAATATGCTAAGCAACCAAATATACGCATAGAATCATAATCATTTGCAGAAGAGCTTGACCATACCTCCAAGGGGGTTCTTTCATTTAATACTACTGAAGGTAACCGATTAACTATGACGAGCATAGCTTAATGCCTCACCCCATATCACTTTGTTTAGTCCTAAATGTGATAGCATACATTAGACTTTCTCCATCAATGTGCGATTCATGCGTTTTGCTACTCCATTTTGTTGTGGTGTTTTGCGCACAGTAAAATGTCGTTTGATCCCTTCATCTTGGCAAACTTCAAAGAAAGGATCTGAAGTGTACTCACCACCATTATCTGACCGAAGAGTCTTAACTCTCCTTCCAGTTTGAGTCTCCACCATTTTCTTCCATTTCAGAAAGATATTAAGGACATCATCCTTGTATTTCATCATGTACACCCATACTCGTCTTGAGAAATCATTAATAAAAGTAACAAACCAATGATTACCTCCAAGAGATTCATTCTTTGAAGGTCCTCATACGTCTGTGTGAACATAATTAAGAATCCCTTTTGTGTTGTGTACCGCAGTGCCAAACTTGATCCTTGTCTGTTTTCCAAGAACACAATGCTCACAGAAACCATACTTCCCAGTCTTAGCGCCTTTTAATAGACCTTGCTTGACCAGTCCTTACAAAGCCTCTTCACCAGCATGCTTTAAACGCATGTGCCAAAGTCTGGAATTATCTGCTTCAGCATCTTTTAAGCTTTTGGAAACAGTTACTGTACTAATAACTATAGATCCATCTAGGAAATATAAGTTTCCTTTCCTCGTGCCTCTTAAGACAACTAATGCACCATGAATTGCTCTCAAGACTCCACCATGCATGATAATCTTATAACCACTAGATTCTAGGACTCCAAGTGAGAAAAGATTTTTCTTCAAGTAAGGTACATACCGTATCTTTGTCAGTGTCTTGACTACCCCATTATGCATCTTTAGATAGATAGTCTCAACCCCTTTAATCTTACAAACATCATCATTACCCATCAACACAACTCCTTCATCGAACTCCTCGAGTCTCGAGAATAAGTGTTGGTTAGGGCGCATATGATAGGAACATGCAGAATTAAGAACCCATTCACTAGAATGTTTTTTTGTGATGAGACCATGAATATAGAGTCTCGTTCATCTTCATCTCGTGCAATGTTCAATGTTGGTTCATCGTTTTTTCTTATTGCCCTTGATTGGACAATCTTTCTTTCAGTGCTCTTTTTTATGACAAAAGGCACATTCATCTTTTGCAAGATATTGTCTATTTGATGATTCTCATCTAGATTTTGAGCAAGATCTCCCTCGCCCATGAAATCTTCTCGGGTTTGTTCTGCCTCTAACTCTCAATGCTTTTGAAGTTGACTTCTTGTGAACAATTTGGTCTTTCTTCCGGTACTCATTATTCATCAAAGCATTGGACACATTAATGAATTTAATTTTTTCTTTACCTTACAGTAAAGTGGTGATGAGATGTTCATATGTGTCAGGCAGTGAATTCAATAATAAAAGAGCCTTATCTTCATCATCGATTTCCACATCCAAATTCTTCAAATCAGCTATCATTTTATTGAAATCATTCAGATGCTCATTTATGGAAGTACCTTTCTTGTGTTGAAAATGAAAATTCCTTTTCTTCAAGTAGAGACAATTATCTATACTCTTTTTCATAAACTTGTCCTCTAGTGCTTGCCATAATTCTTTTGCAGAGTTTTGTTCTGAAAAGGCATACTTTTGATCCTTTACAAGACAAAGTCGGATAGAACTGCAGGCCAACCGATTGATCCTTTCCCAGCTCTTCTCATCCAAATCCTCTGGTTTATCTTCTAGAGTGAAATTCAAATTCATTTGGACAAGCATATCTATAACTTCACATTTCCATATGCCAAAATTACCTTTCCCATCAAACTTCTCCACCTCAAATTTGGTACTGATACCGGGATGTATTGTGGAGGTATACTAGCATTCCTCGCTGATCTTTCTTTTGGAATATCAGCCATTAGGACGTCTTTGAATTACAAATGGACTCCTAAAATTATTAAAACACACTTTTATACTCAAAAGAGCTAAAACAGTAACTTCGATGTGCTGTTTCACAAAAAGGACACCAAGGTTGCGTCCGAAATGGTTGAAAATGCTAGGAACAAACTTCACTCCACTAAAAATGGGCTAAAAAATCACTGACTTAGCCAAAAAATCAATCTGATCGAGTTGACTCGGGAAAGGAATATTCTGTCTCTGATAAAAAATATTCTATCACAATCAAAGGAATATTCTCTTACTGTTAACAGAATATTCTTATTATGTCAAGAGAATATTCTGTCATTATTACATGACGTGGCGATGTGGACCCCTATTGATGATGTGGATGATGACTCAGCGCCAATATGTTGATGACGTGACAGTCTTCTCATGCTAGAATTCTGGCACTGTCTGGTTTTTCCGGCAAATTTCAGGCGAAACTTCAGCGAGCTCTACAGGGCTCGTTTCAACTCCAATTTCGATGATATTTTTATCATCGGACTCGTATCGACAAGAGAAATCTTCGCAAGTGGTCAAAATCAAGATCTAAGAACTTTGAAAATTCTGCAACTTTGAACCAAGAGCTGAAAAAATGTGTTTTTTCAGTGTTCTAGCTTCCCTAATGCTCTGATACCAATTTGTTGTGCATACTGGACCGAAAGTAAACACAAGTAAAAAACACAAACAAGTAGATTTACGTGGTTCCCCAAAACTGGGTACGTCTATGGAGGTAATAGATTGTATATTATGGGAGAAATGATACAAACACTTAACTCAACCTAATATAATACCAGAAAACCCAGTGTTTCACTCTTACACCCACTCACTCTCTCAAAGTCTTCTCTCTTTCACTCACTCACTTGCACTCACCACACTTCCTCTACACATCTCTTTATATATTTCACTTTCTCGTTTGTGTCTCTATTTATAGGAGAAATAAGAGCCTGGGCACAACCCATGTGCAATCTAATAAATGCCAACCAACTACTAACTACTATAATAAAAAAGCCATGGTGATTGAAAAAAGTTGATAAATTTGCTACACTATGTTGATCTACCAGACCCTCGGACGAGGTTAATAGGGTTTTTTATTAAAAAAAAAAATGATGTTAAGGATGAATTTTTTTTTTATGAACTTCATTGCACAGCATTATTAAGCTCTCTACTCCAATTCATATGGATGATGACAGTAAACACACATAAGTGATTAAATTCCCTGTGAGCTAAGCTAATGAAGAAATGAAATAGTGCATAGTGGGGGGTTTCGATCAAAATATATATGTGCAAGGATTAATGACCACAAACCTCATATGATCTTCGATCCGAATATAGCTTTTAGACTTCAGCTACACCAATATCCCAGGTGGCCAGTGCCCCTTGCCTTTATATATAGAAGAGTTAATTTGTTGAGAAGTTATGGATTTGGTTCGAGCTGGAGGAAGGAGACCATCTGATCCCCCGTCGCCATAATTAACTGCTTGCTGCTTCAACTCCTCGATCTCTGTGATATATGGGTGCGCTCTCTCTCTCTTGCATTATTGTTTTCACTGTGCAGCGAACAACTTAAGTACGCTGTGAATTAATGGCTAGAATTGTCTAGTGTTGTGGAAGTTTATATGGTGGCCCCAGCAGACAAATTAATTTTAGACATTTCTTTTAAAAATGCGAACCACTAGACCCTTTATAAAAATCAGAACTTTCTTTTTCTTCTGAAAAGTTTAAGGAGATAATTTCATCAACTAGGAGAGGCCAAAAACATTTTCACTTTATTGCTAGAATTATTTTTTTAATTGGAGCCTACTTACAAATTTTTTGAGTATTTATATCTCCAATTCATAAGAATCATCTTTGCATGGAGATAATTTTCTTTGCAACTTCAAAAGAAATTTTAAATAAAGACATAGATAGAAAGGTTAGATAATATTGATTTTAATTTAAAAAAAAAAGTCTTTTACCTACAGAGAGAATTCTACTCTTTCAAGTTTTAAGAATATCAAAAACTAGTTTCCAAATGGAACATAGTCTTAGATTTGATTTATTTCCAAGTAAAGCCTAAGTATTTAATGAGTAAAATTACACATTTGATGGTTCGGTCCATTTGAAATGCTCAAAACAATTTGATCTTCAATGATGTGGAAACAAACTAGGATGATATATATTATTCATTATTCCATAGAGTTATTACATGGACAAAATAGTATGATTAGAGTTTTTCATATTAGGATAGGCAAATAAAAATCACCAAATAGTATTTTTGTGTGGATAAAAAACTAAAAGAGTGTATTGTAAATTCTCATGGATTCTTTTTTTTCAAGGTATACTTAAGTGGAATGTATATATATCTATAAATGACCTGTCTTAATCCAACTCTTATGGTTTGAGGGTGTCCTAGGAGATAATGAATTAAGGAAAATTCCTTTGTATTTTTTTTCTTTTCACAAGTATTAAGGAATTCATTGAAACTGAGATTTTCATCATTTAAAAAAGCTTTTATTTTGAATATTGATTGTTGTTATATATTTTATAAGAATTGAATTATGAAGTACAATTCATACAATGCATTTAATTGGATAAGAGGAAACAATATCATAAAGTCATGGCAGTTATAAGTGATGCTTGTTGTGCGCGTAGCTACATAGAAACTAGACAACCTAGCTTTTACATCTCCTGTAAACTAGCTCCGACAATAACTATTATCAATAATAATAATAATAATAATAATAATGCCTTCGCTTTTGCTTGCTGGCCAGCACAGAAATTATAGATTAAAAAAAATTAAACTAGGAATAAGTTGCTTGACCCGTGAACATGACTGAGACCTTATCATAGATGGAAACCGTTTTGAGGATAATAACTATGAATGCCTATGTATGCCTTTTCTTTTCTTCCCTTTCCATTTCCACGAACCCCCACTTCTTTCTTTCTTTTCTTTCCCGTATTCTTTGTCGTGTGTCTGTCCTTTCTTTCTCTCATTTCACGGCAGAAAAAAGGAACAACTTATGGCCACAACATGGCAGGTTTACAGACAAAACTTGTAAACACGAGCTCAATCAGAGAGCAGAAATGTGATGGGTGACAGCCAACAGGTACTCATCAATGGAGAAGCTAATTAAAGCATCTGGAACCAGACAGAGGAGTCAATATTAATAAAAGAACATAGTCATTCATCTGTTGACATTAATGCATCCCTAGCCAGGTTATTTCGCGCACCAACAGCGGCAGCACTAGCTAGCTCTATAGCATTGAGGAGAAGTACATCAAACAATCGCATACATGCCGCTTGGCAATAAGCAATTATTACAAAGGAAATTTCAGCCAAACCAAAGCAGCACAGCAGTAATTGACAATAGTACTAAGCAGGAAAATTAATTATCTCTTGAGAATAACAGCCGCATGGGATAGAGTTATAAAGCAAGAAGATTATTGCGTCTTTGGAAGCAGAATTCCTCGAGGCAGTACTTTCATTGGCAGTGATCAATGGAGCCAAGCTGACAAGGTGAATGAAGAACATGCATGTATTAGGATTGCTATAAGAAACGAGTTAGTTAGAACAATATTGAAAGATAAAAATGCTTACCAATTAGCTGAAGGGAACAGGTAGAACTTGAACATCATCGATATTACCTACCACAAGGAATGGAAGAACGCTGATAATTGAATTTGAATTGCAATGAGTAAAAAGAATGAGAAAATTTGAGAAATAATTGAAGAATTTCCTTGATGAAATTGAAATTATCATTTAACTTCGCGTTACCTGTAGTATCACAAACCCTTAAGCCAGTTTGGTTAGCTACCCAAACCAGAGCTTCACCCATGCTCCATAAAAACTTTCATCATCAGGATCGTAAGTGCCGTCGTATTGGAGAACTGGTACATGTTTCACTATCCAGTAGTCTTGGCCACTATTGGGTGACAATCTCTCATTGAACTCATCTGACATCTTTGCCAATGATAGCTGTTTGAGATTTTTCAAGTGTTGTATCCCAGAAGGCACCTCCTTCAGACGCTGGCAAAAACCTATTTCAAGTTTTTCAAGAAGGGGGATTGCTCCTTGGTCTATTATCATTGTATTCAATTCAGTCATGCCTGCAAGACGTAGAGACTTGAGTTTCTGAAACCCTCCTCCTTCAAAATGCATCTTCTCTCCATTGTATCCACGAAAGAATCTAAGAAATCTTAAATTGGGCAAAGCTTGTAGGACTTTAATCTAAGAAATCCTTTCAGGATATCCAATAAGCTCGAAGCAACATTATTTTGGAAAGGCCAATTTCACCACAGTGAGTGCAGACATAACCTGTGAATCCCATAACCTAGCGCTGTTGTGACTCTCTTCTTGCAATGCATAGGCTGCTTCCAAATCTAATTTTGGTTCTTTTCGAAGAATTTCACCACGAATTTGACTCAAGATCAAGACCGTTTAAAAAAATATGTACCCGCAACCTCATCATCGCTGTATGAAGATGTATAATTCCTTAAACAAATTCCTTTTGAGTTGTGTTACGATGATCGATTTCCTGGAAAATTGCAACAAGTTCATTATATGTGGATAAAGACCTGCCATTCTGAGCAGTCGAAAAAGACTTTTGATTCAATTCAAAGAATCGTGTTTCATTAGATCCATCATAGAAAGTCTTTGATACTGCTTCCCAGATTTCTCTTGCTGTGACAAGACAAATAAATCTCTGCATCACATGGGGACTGATCATTGATTCGCTGAGCCAGCTCTTGACTATGATTTTCAGTAATCCATATATCATAGTTTGGATCATTAAATACAGGTTTTGCCACTACTCGAGTTAAATATCCAACCTTGTTACGGGCTCCACTACGCATCTCCATCAACTGAGACCATAACGTGTAGTTTGTTTCATTGAGAATAACACTGACAGGGAAGCCAGAGGTTTCCTGTTTGCCACTACTCCAGTTAAATATCCAACCTTGTTACGGGCTCCAATACGCATCTCCATCAACTGAGACCATAACGTGTAGTTTGTTTCATTGAGAATAACACTGACAGGGAAGCCAGAGGTTTCCTGTTGAATGATTATTGGGTTTGACAAGGAATTGTTCGGGGTGGTTTGAACGATTGGACTTTGTTCGTGTTCTGCCATTATTTGCAGGAGGAAGATTATTGGATTTCAAGGTTCAAAGAAGGATGCAGGGAAGAAATGGTGTAGAAAAAAAAATTCAGGTTCGCTCTGATACCATGTTAATTACGATAGATACAGGTTCTCTCTTTATGAAATATTCCACTGTTTTTATTAATTCATCTTTACAGCAGAACAACACTTATATACAAGGTGGTAAGAGAACCTATTCTACACGAACTCCTTCTCTATGGACTCCTATTCTACGTAGTAAAATATATGTACAAGGAAACTAAGAGATTCCCTATAACTCTGGAATCTATAAATATCTTGCCAGGTAACAATAAACATTCATAAAATCGAGTATAAATCAAATATTTGCATGCCTTTTCTTTTCTTCTCTTCATATTTCCAAAAACCCCCGCTTCTTTCTTTCTTTTCTGCTCTTCTTTTCTCTTCCCTGTTCTTTGTCGTGTGTCTATCCTTTCTTTCTTTTCACGCCGGAAGGAACAATTGATGACCACAACAGGACAGAAAATTAAGTGATGGGTACATTGTTTGAGATTAATAATAAAATAACAATAATAATAAATATTTATAAAAACAAGTATAAATTAAATATCAGGATATTTATTTGAAATTTTAATAATTTTATAAAAAATAAATCAAATAATTTATATAAATCAAATATCAAGATATTTGGTTAAAATTTTAATAATTTTATAGAAAACAAATTAAAATAATTTATAAAGATTCAAATTTAAAATCAAGAAACTATTAAAAATTTTTTAAAAAAAACCCTCCTTCACTACTTATATGAATAGTTGACATCTCAACTCTTAAAAAAAAAAATACAAAAATTAAGAATATTTTAATGTTTTTTTTTATTCTAAATGAGTTCCCATGTACATTGTTGTATATTCTAACCAGCTTGTAGTTGATCCATTTTAGGTTTTATAAAATAGAAAAGAGGAAGTAATCTTGTGTATCATGATATAAAAAAAAAGAAAAAAAAAACATTGACATGTGATCATATGATCACCCATGTTAAACACAGTTAAATATTAAAAAAAAACATTGATTTTTTATCAAAAAATTAAAAAAATATTTATTTCCATGTTAAACACAGTTAAATATTTAAAAAAAAACATTGATTTTTTATCAAAAAATTAAAAAAATATTTATTTTAAATTGATGTTTTTCTAATTTTTTTCTAAAAAAATTATAAATTAAAAGAAATTCAACTAGAAATAACTTGCTTGACCCGTGAACATGACTTAGACCTTTTCTTATCTTCTTTTCCCATTTCCACGAACCCCCACTTCTTTCTTTCTTTTCTTTTCCCTGTTCTTTGTCGTGTGTCTATCCTTTCTTTCTTTTCACGGCAGAAGGGACAACTTATGATCACAACAGAACAGAAAAGTGATGGGTGACAGCCTCCAGGTACTAATCAATGGAGAATCTAAAGCATCTGGAACCAGACAGAGGAGCCAAATTTAATAAAAGAACATGGACATTCATCTGTAGACATTAATGCATCCCTAGCCAGGTTATTTCTAGTACCAACAGCGGCAGCACTAGCTAGCTAGCTCCATAGCATTGAGGAGAAGTACATCAAACGATAGTATACAAGCTGCTTGGTAATGAGCAATTATTACAAGGAACTTTCAGTCAAACCGAAGCAGCACAGCAGTAATTAACATTAGTACTAAGCAGGAAAATTAATGATCTCTTGAGAATAACAGCCGCATGGCATAGAGTTATAAAGCACGAAGATTATTGCGTCTTTGGAAGCAGAATTCCTTGAGGCACTTTCATGGTAGTGATCAATGGAGTCAAGCTGACAAGGTGAATGAAGAACATGCATGTATTAGGATTGTTATAAGAAACGAGTTAGTTTAGAGTGAATATATAGAACAATATTGAAAGATAAAAGCGCTTACCAATTAGCTGGTGAAGGGAACAGGTAGAACTTGAACATCATCAATATTACCTACCACAAAGAATGGAAGAACGCTGATAATTGAATTTGAATTGTAATGAGGAAATTTGAGAAATAATTGAAGAATTTCCTTGATGAAATTGAAATTATCATTTAACTTCGCGTTACCTGTAGTATCATAAACCCTTAAGCCAGTTTGGTTAGCTACCCGAACCAGAGCTTCACCCATGCTCCATAAGAACTTTCATCATCAGGATCGTAAGTGCCGTCGTATTGGAGAACTGGTACATGTTTCACTATCCAGTAGTCTTGGCCACTATTGGGTGACAATCTCTCATTGAACTCATCTGACATCTTTGCCAATGATAGCTGTTTGAGATTTTTCAAGTGTTGTATCCCAGAAGGCACCTCCTTCAGACCCTGGCAAAAACCTATTTCTAATTTTTCAAGAAGGGGGATTGCTCCTTGGTCTATTATCATTGTATTCAATTCAGTCATGCCTGCAAGACGTAGAGACTTAAGTTTCTGAAACCCTCCTCCTTCAAAATGCATCTTCTCTTCATTGTATCCACGAAGGAACCTAAGAAATCTTAAATTGGGCAAAGCTTGTAAGACTTTAATCGAATCACCACCCATCAACCTGGTATCAGTCAATCTCAATTTAGCTAGATGGTGCAGTCTGGAAATCCACTCAGGCAGCCTTTCTAATTTCCCCCAAAGAATGAGAGATTGGAGGTGAAGAGGAGGAGAAGACATTGCCTGCAAGTCAATAATTGCAACCCCATAACCCTCTGAAGCAACCCAAAGCGACCGCAGGTGAGGCATATTCTCTAGCGCAACGCATAGATCCCTTCCATATTCAGTTTTCATATTCATGATCCCCAGTTTCCTCAATCGCTTCAACATTCCAATCTCATTAATTAATTCCCTTTCATGATGGAAACCTGCATTAATTAAATAGAGTGTTTGCAACAGCTCTAACTGCCCTAGGCTACCACGTACAACGAACCCAAAACCCTGTTTAGGTTCACCCAAAAGATATCGCAATTTAGGGAATCTGTTAACCTCAACTGGCAACCTTTCCACCAAGGAATCACTCAAGTCTAAGAACTCTAGGTTTTGCAGCTTTCCAATTGATTTTGGAAGATTTGACACCAGTGTATCTCTTAAGCTTAAATACTTCAGGTGTAGCAAATTTCCCAACTCTTCTGGAATTTCATCTATCGGACACTTTTCAAAATCTAATGTGGTCAAAAGCTTACATTTTTCAAATACTGCATCAATTATTGGCTTTTGCAGCTTTGCCCCGCAGAAGAACATGACAGAGCGAGTTTGAGACCTGGTGCTTCCCTTTGGATTGTCACTTCCTCCCTTGCTTATGGACATGTGTCGTGCTATGCCTTCCAAAGCTGAGGAATTCCAAGAAACATGGCCGATACTTAATTCTTCTGACCTGGAAAGAATGACGTCTCGTACCAGATCATGCACTCGACATGTTGTGGGAATTCCTTTCATGCTAGCTTCATCTACTTGGACTAGACTTCGACGAATGAGTCCATTCAAGCACTCTTCCGCGGCTTCTTCTAATGTCAATCCTCGTTTTTCTTGTACAAAACCTTGAGCCACCCATAACCGAATTATTCTTGTACGTTTAATTGAGAAATCTTCGGGAAGCATCCCGAAATACAAGAAACATGCTTTGAGGTCGTAAGGCAGGTCGTGAAAACTGAGGGAGAGAATTTTAGTGACATTCTCAACATGAGGATCACTCGCCATTGTAGAATCGAGACTATTGACCAATTTTTGCCATTCTGGGACGACCCTTTCTTTGGTCGCTAGAAGTCCACCAACAGCCACAATTGCCAGTGGCAATCCTCCGCATCTTCTAACAATGTCTTGCGACAATTCCTCCAAATCTTTTGGACAATTCCCTTCAAAATCAAACTTGAATGCCTTTTTGCAGAAGAGTTCCCAAGCTTCTCGTTGAGGGAGAGATTTCATCTGATAGACATGAACCAATGAAGATCTCCTGCAGAAGTTAGCAACATCCTCATTTCTTGTCGTGGCCAGTATTTTGCTACCTTTGTTGTTATCCACCAAGGCATGCTCCACATCTCCCCAGAAGCGGATTTCCCACACATCATCGAATACAACTAAATACCGTTCTTGCTGTAAATATTTTCTAAGTTCATCAATCAACGATAAAGCGTCCATTGTGACAAAGGCCTCAGGAAAAGGCTCTTTCTTAGCTTCATATAATTTCTTTAACGTGCTCCTTAAGAGTTCCACCCTGTCGTATGATTGAGACACAGTAATCCAAGCATGGCATTGAAAGTGTTGTTTCACCACGTAGCTGTCATATACTTTCTTTGCAAGAGTGGTTTTTCCCACTCCTCCCATTCCAACAACCGAGATCACTGTCCTTCGACATTCTCCGCTTACCAAGAGGCTTATCAATTCATCTTTTGTAGATTCAATGCCAACAAGCTCGGAATCTTCAATGAAAAGAGAACCTGATTGAGGATCATGCAAGACAATGTTACTTGAGCCTCCTTGCTCTGAAGATGCGAACCGGAACCCTTCACTTCTGTCCTTGATTCTGTGAAGAGTTTTTCTAACATCATGAATCTCTGATGCGATCTTGTGGCGTAGAGGCAATTTCCGAACCAAGGAAGAGACTTTAGTTAAGAAGCCCGCGAATACACGCCGATCACGATGTTGTGCCACATGAAGCATATTATATTCGTCAATGACATCTTCAATCTGATAAGCAACTTCCCTTGCTTGGTTTACCCATAGTTTCACACTTTCGCTCACACCTTCTCTCTCAGCCTTTGAGTTTGCATCTTTCAGAAAAGCTCTGATGGCTTCCAGATCATCTTTGATATCTGCAACTTCATTGTAAAGACCTTTCAATAGTTGCACCCCTTGAGCTAGCAATGGAGCCAACTTGTCAATTACAAGACTCACTGCTGACTCTGCCATTTTTTCTTCTCCTTTCTATTTGATCTTCTTTTCTGCGAGAACAAATTTTGAATTTAGGCTCCTTGAAGTAATTAAATTATTGTAGGTTGGTCATGTTACAAAAGTTAAACCTGGCGTATGTAAGCATCAGACGAGTTACTATGTGTTGTCCACGGAACCAAAAGCAAACACAAGTAAGAAATACAAACAAGTAAATTTACGTGGTTCTTCAAAATTGGATATGCCTACAGAGGCAATAGATTATATATTATAGGAGGAATGATACTGATTAATACTTAAAAGTACATTTTTATTAAGGTTTTATATCATTATTTTGCACTTGAAGTATCAATAACTCTTTAACTAAAGCATGTTTTATAATAACGTATCTAATAACATAAGATACCTTTAATTTGTGGTAAATATTCATTTTAAATGCAGGCCTATCACATAAATGAAAAGATTGATTGATGA